TTATGCCATCCCACAAACCTCAACCCTATGTTTTGCGGTAGAAGGTCTGGATTATTTATAAACGTTGACAAAATATTAAACGGAAGACTTCTGTTAAAAATTTTTCTCAGTTTTCCCCACGTCCACATAGCATTATATATTAGTGGGTTATACTTTATTACGTGAGGTAAATCATTTAAACGTTTCCCTAAAATGTTAACAGGTGAGGATGGTTTACGTAATACTTCCTCAATTTTTATCCATGGCAGATCAGAATGTTCATGTATCCAGGCAGAAAGAAACCTTGCTTGTATTGAGAGAACATAATTTTCTATGTTTGACACTCCCCATCTGTCCAGATCTTTCGGTAACTGTAGTGTCTCCAATTTAATTTTGGGTTTTCTTCCTGCCCAAATGAAATCCACCATAGCCTTGTTAATTACTTTAATATCTTCTGATTTCAAAATTACAAACACCATGCCTATATAATATCGTATTTTCAGTAGGATTACCATCTTAATGAGATTTATTCTTCCCAAAAATGATATTGGAAGTGACCTCCATCTTGTCAGCATCTCTCGAAGATCTTGAACCATTCCATTAATGTTTTCTCTATATAAGTGACCAACATTTGGTGTAACTTTAACTCCCAAATATACAAAACCTGATGGTGCCCAATGAAAAGGTTTAACATATAAAGGTTCAGTGTCCTTCCACTACACAGAGTCATTATAACAGATTTATCAAAATTTACCTTGTATCCAGATATAAGACCAAAGTCCTTGATACACCTAGTAAGAACAGGTAGAGCGTTAGCAGGGTCAGTCAGTGCCAGAAGAATATCGTCTGCATAGAGCAGGATTTTATGTTGTCTATCCCCAAATTTAACTCCAGGAACACTTGGATTTTGTCTAATGGCCATGGCCAAAGGCTCAATGGCCAAAGCAAATAATAGTGGTGACAATGGACTACCTTGTGCTGTACCTCTGCTCAATGTAATTGGGGAGGATAGCAAGCTGTTAGTTAACTCTGATGCTATTGGTGATTTGTATATAATTTTGATCCACCCCAAAAAGTTTTTTCCAAACCCAAATCTTCTCATTATTTCAAACAGATATTCTCATTCAATTCTATCAAATGCCTTTTCGGCATCCATAGAAACAACAACCCCGGAGATCTGATAAAATTTTTAAAAAATGAATAATATTAAATAGACGTCGAGTATTATTGTAAGAATTCCACCCCTTAATAAAGCCTGTCTGGTCAGCATGCACAGTAGAGGACATTACTTTTTCTAGCCTAAAAGCCAGTATCTTTGAAAGTATCTTATTATCAACACCAAGAACGCTAATAGGCCTGTAAGATGAGCATAACTCTGGGTTTTTATCTTTTTTAGCTATCAATGTTATATTAGCCTGGTACATAGATTCTGGGAGTTTCGATTTTTCAAATGCTTTATTAAAAACCCTTAATAATAAACTATTTAACTTCACTTTCATTACCTTAAAAATTCTACTGGAAGGCCATCTGCCCCCGGACATTTCCCTGACTGGAGTGCAGATATTGCTTTGTCCACCTCCATCAATGTGATGGGTGACTCCAGCAGGCTAACCTGAGCTGAGGGAATACTAAGTCGTTTAGAAAAAAGCCTGAGTTAAGCCTTGTTATATCCATCTCAGACTGATATAAGTTTGTATAGAATTCTCTAAATCACTCATTAATCTGACAGTTTCCTACGGTTTTCACATCCACAATAGCTGTGATAAAATAACTTGATGAAGTATTCCTTGCAAGACAAGCCAAAAAGCGGTTAGGCTTATTAGCTGATTCAAAAAGTTGTCGTCTGGCAAGAAGGACATCTCTTTCAGCCTTTCGCATTAACAAATTATGCAGAGATGTCCTGGCAATATTAAGCTCACTTTAGGTTTCAGCTGATTTTGTTACATAATATTGTTTCTCCAGCTTTTTTATATTATTCTCGATCTCTAACTACCTTGTTAATCGTTGCTTTCTTTTATGACTTGTGTATGAAATAATCATCCCTCTCATGTAAGCCTTATAGCTATCCCATAAAGTTCTCGTGTCTATCTCCCCTTTATCATTTATTTCTAAAAATAATGTTGTTTGCTCTGTTATGAAGTGTATAAATTTCTCATCCAAAAGAGACAGTGCATTCATCTTCCAAGACATGGAGCGCTCAATATGTCTCATGGGTTGAATGGTTAGGACTACAGGAGCATGGTCAGAGAGACCTATATGACCAATATTTACCTGCTAAACTAACTGACTGATACACTTGGACATAAAAATATAATCTATACAAGATGCTGACAAGTGAGGGTTAGAGTAGAAAGTGTATTCTTTAGATAATGGGTTATAGTGTCGCCAGACATCTACAGGGAGTGCATAATTATTAGGCAAGTTGTATTTTTGAGGAATAATTTTATTATTGAACAACAACCATGTTCTCAATGAACCCAAAAAACTCATTAATATCAAAGCTGAATGTTTTTGGAAGTAGTTTTTAGTTTGTTTTTAGTTTTAGCTATTTTAGGGGGATATCTGTGTGTGCAGGTGACTATTACTGTGCATAATTATAAGGCAACTTAACAAAAAACAAATATATACCCATTTCAATTATTTATTTTCACCAGTGAAACCAATATAACATCTCCACATTCACAAATATACATTTCTGACATTCAAAAACAAAACAAAAACAAATCAGCGACCAATATAGCCACCTTTCTTTGCAAGGACACTCAAAAGCCTGCCATCCATGGATTCTGTCAGTGTTTTGATCTGTTCACCATCAACATTGCGTGCAGCAGCAACCACAGCCTCCCAGACACTGTTCAGAGAGGTGTACTGTTTTTCCTCCTTGTACATCTCACATTTGATGATGGACCACAGGTTCTCAATGGGGTTCAGATCAGGTGAACAAGGAGGCCATGTCATTAGTTTTTCTTCTTTTATACCCTTTCTTGCCAGCCACGCTGTGGAGTACTTGGACGCGTGTGATGGAGCATTGTCCTGCATGAAAATCATGTTTTTCTTGAAGGATGCAGACTTCTTCCTGTACCACTGCTTGAAGAAGGTGTCTTCCAGAAACTGGCAGTAGGACTGGGAGTTGAGCTTGACTCCATCCTCAACCCGAAAAGGCCCCACAAGCTCATCTTTGATGATACCAGCCCAAACCAGTACTCCACCTCCACCTTGCTGGCGTCTGAGTGGGACTGGAGCTCTCTGCCCTTTACCAATCCAGCCACGGGCCCATCCATCTGGCCCATCAAGACTCACTCTCATTTCATCAGTCCATAAAACCTTAGAAAAACCAGTCTTGAGATATTTCTTGGCCCAGTCTTGACGTTTCAGCTTGTGTGTCTTGTTCAGTGGTGGTCGTCTTTCAGCCTTTCTTACCTTGGCCATGTCTCTGAGTATTGCACACCTTGTGCTTTTGGGCACTCCAGTGATGTTGCAGCTCTGAAATATGGCCAAACTGGTGGCAAGTGGCATCTTGGCAGCTGCACGCTTGACTTTTCTCAGTTCATGGGCAGTTATTTTGCGCCTTGGTTTTTCCACACGCTTCTTGCGACCCTGTTGACTATTTTGAATGAAACGCTTGATTGTTCGATGATCACGCTTCAGAAGCTTTGCAATTTTGAGACTGCTGCATCCCTCTGCAAGATATCTCACTATTTTTGACTTTTCTGAGCCTGTCAAGTCCTTCTTTTGACCCATTTTGCCAAAGGAAAGGACGTTGCCTAATAATTATGCACACCTGATATAGGGTGTTGATGTCATTAGACCACACCCCTTCTCATTACAGAGATGCACATCACCTAATATGCTTAATTGGTAGTAGGCTTTAGAGCCTATACAGCTTGGAGTAAGACAACATGCATGAAGAGGATGATGTGGACAAAATACTCATTTGCCTAATAATTCTGCACTCCCTGTATAAGGTCAAGCTCATTTATAATTTGCCAAAGGGTTTTGGAATTTTTTGACGAAGTAGATTGTGGGGGAGATTTATCCATTTTGGGGCATAGAACACAGTTAAAGTCACTCGCTAATATTATGTTAGCACAGTCCATGTCCATTAATTGACTGAATAATATTCTGCAAAACTCATCATCCTGTGGATTTGGTGCATATATATTACCTAGGAGAACAGTTTTCCCATGCAACATCCCTTTGACCAATATATACCTTCCATCATTGTCCTTGTGAGTGGCTGTAACACTGAAAGGAAGGTTTTTGTGTATAAGAGTAATAACTCCCCTTTTATTTGTGGAGTAGGATGAGAAAAACATTTGACCAACCCATTCTCTACAGTATTTTCTATGTTCATCATCTGTCAGATGGGTTTCTTGCAAAAAAGCAATGTGAATCAAATCTTTCTTCAGAGAATTTAAAATTGACTTTCTTTTCATCACATTGTTGGACCCTTTAACATTCCAAGTAGTTATCTTAACTGACATACAAGAAAAGCAATATATATTTTGTGCTGTTTACATGTTTAAACAAATCTACATTTGACCAGTCTGAACCTATTAACCAAAATAGTTGAGCCTGGAAACCTCAACCCTCCCCAACACAAATAACAAAAAGTAAAGCAAAATAAATTACACATCTAGGTGTACCCTGCTCTAAAGTACAGCTGTAGGGGGATACAGACGCGTAACATACCTGCACTGGAGTGTATGTCAAAAATCAAAGTATACTCTATACCTTAGCTTGTTAACAGTACTGTACTACCCTCCGCACCTTCTTTTAGCCCGACAATCCTCGCGTTCTGCCGCCGGCTCTGATTCTCAAAGTTTTCCAGACGCTCCATGGCCTTCTTAAGCTGGGTCTCGAGAGCGGCAATACGTGGCTCACTTGTAGCCGTAACATCTTCCAAGTCCGAGACCCACTGCTCCACTGTTCCCATTTTTTCTATCAGATTATCGAATTTCTCAGTGAGCTTGTTTATTGGCTTTGTGACTTCGGATATCTTACTATCCAATACTTTTGATATGTTAGAAGTCACCTTGTCCACAATCACGTCATCCCGCAATGTACTTAGTGCATCCTCAGCGTCGCACCTGGTCTCATTTTCAGAGCAATTGACTCCTCGTTTGCCCATTTCTCTCTTTTTGCTTGATCCAGGGTGTGCAAAAAACTTGTCTAAAGACATTATATAAATTTCGAGGCAGTTTGTTGGCAAAATGAGCTAAAATACCAATATTTTACAGCTGTCCAGTGCAGAGCTCACAAACTCACGTCTGCTCAGCTCGACGCATCACATTTTTTCAATAATGTCATTTTAATTACAACTGTCATTGTAGCACATCATTGTAGTGTGATACTATCACCAGAAGGTGGTGGTAAAACACCAACAACATGTTTGTTGACCTCTTTGATCCCACTAATGGAGACAGTTTCAGTTTGTTTCACGACTGCATTTCACTCACTGCCTCTGTTTGTATCTCTGTCACTGCAGGACCAACATGGAGCAAGAAGTCAGTGCTCTCAGGAGGCCGACAAACCTCACAGAAAAAAGGGAAAGAAAAAATACAGCTGTGATGAGTGTGAGAAGTATTTTACTAGGAAGTCAGAACTGAAACGTCATCAACTCATCCACAGTGCAGTTAAAGCATACAGCTGTGAGGAATGTGGTAAAGATTTTCCTTGCAGTAGTGACTTAAAACGTCATCAAGTTACCCACTCTGGAATTAAAGCGTACAGCTGTGAGTTGTGTGGAAAGTCTTTTACCCAGGCTGGAAGCTTAAAAACACACAAACTCATCCACAGTGGAGTTAAACCGTACACTTGTAATCAGTGTGGTAAAGCTTTTGCTTGCAGTAGCAACTTACGACGTCATGAAGTTACCCACTCTGGAATTAAGGCGTACAGCTGCGACATTTGTGGAAAGTCTTTTAACAATCCTGCAAATTTAAAAAGACACAAAGTTGTCCACAATGGAGTTAAAGCGTACAGCTGTGACTTGTGTGGAAAGTCTTTTACCCGGGTTGAAAGCTTAAAAACACACCAACTCATCCATAGTGGAGTTAAAGCGTACAGCTGTGATCAGTGTGGTAAAGCTTTTGCTCGCAGTAGCTACTTACGATGTCATCAAGTCACCCACTCTGGAATTAAGGCATACAGCTGTGACATTTGTGGAAAGTCTTTTAACCATCCTGCAAACTTAATAGCACACCAACTTGTCCACAGTGGAGTTAAAGCGTACAGCTGTAATCAGTGTGGTAAAGGTTTTGCTCGCAGTAGCAATTTACGACGTCATGAAGTTACCCACTCTGGAATTACGGCGTACAGCTGCGACATTTGTGGAAAAACCTTCCGCTGGCTAGTCAGCAGAAATATCCACCAACGCCTTCACACTGGCAATGATGTTTGGTTCTGTGATCAGTGTGACAAACTGTTTGTGACATACAAAGGCCTACAGGAGCACATGTTTACCCACACTGAGGAGAGACCTTACAAATGTGACCTGTGTGAAAAGGCTTTTAAAACTCCACGTTCCCTGAAATCACACCAAAAGATTCACAGCAGAAAGAAACTCTACAAGTGCAGTTACTGTGAGGTATGTATTTATATTTTTACAGTTGCAGTTATTTTGAAGTATTATGTGAATTAAGTTTAATTTCAAAGTAGGACTGGGCCATATCACACCATTCACAGTAATACCGGTGTAATGTTGGGCAACAATAAAAAAAATGAAATATTGCGATAGAATAGGGGTAAAACGCACATGCGCAGTGCCTTTGTTTTCATACATGGTGGAAAAAGCATGGCAGCGATGCAGAATGAGAAGGGTGAAAGTGGATCATTGAATGAAACAGATGAACCAGAATTGGTTTGTAAAAATGCTGCAACTTCAGTGGTGTGGAACTGGTTTAGCTTTCGTCCGTCAGATACTGCACTATTAGCACTATTTTTGGTAGCGCATGCTAGCCGGCCGTCGCTATTACCGTGTTTTTTGGAAAATACAGCACACTTAAAATCAATCCTTTGATTTTTCTGAGAATCGACAGTGCCCCTTATAATCCTGTGTGACTTATGTATGAATTCTGGTTGTGTTTACTGACCTCGAAACAATTTTTCTGTGGTACACAGCGCTCGAAAATCTGTCAAACATTTTAGTACGACTTTGCTAAACTACGGATCCGCAATGTTTGATGGATTTTCGGAGCATTATGGCTATCGTAGGCGGAGCCTCGCGGAGTGATACGTACTGTGCTTCAACATAATATTACCGTATTGTGTGTGTATAACCTCTTTTTAAGTTTTGTGGATATTATACATGTTTATTAGGGGTGCAACAATACTCATATCGATATTGAACCGTTCGATACAGTGCTTTCGGTTCGGTACGCATATGTATTGAACAATACAAATTTTTTTATTTATTTTATCAACTTTTCTTCTGACGATGCTGTCTGTTTTGAGAGCTCAGTGAATCTGCATTCAACTACTCCGCCTAGGCTGCACTGTCGAGTGCAGATCCACTGAGCGCAGCGCAAGCTAGCAAGACAGACGCTAAGCTCGTTGCAACATGGCAAATTGAACCTCATTCAGATCTGGCCTTTGGAACTATTTTCATGTGACGTATGACCCTGAAGGTAAGCGCATCATGGACAAAAGTAAAACAGTATGTCGGATGTGCCACGCAATGCTCAATTACATGGGTGGAAACTAGTGCGTTAGCGCAGTTAGCTCGTTAAGGTGTTGACACCGTCCAGCCCCACGCACGGGGCAATCCGCAGTAGCTCGTTAACGGAGATTTGCCGTGTTGTGGCGTTAACGTCATTTCAGATTTACGCTGACAGCACTAGTGGGAACACAACGAATATGACTGCACATTTATGCCGACATCATCCTAGTGCAAAGACAAGTGGAAGAAGACAAAAACAACAAGCACGCATGCTACATACTTTACCCGAGTCATTTAGACAGCCGTTAGCACAGGATTCTCCTTATGGGGACCTGATATGTTTAATATGCTGCTGAGAATATAGCCCAGAAGAAGCGTATAGTAGAGCTTTTATTTTGGAAAGAGCCATTTCTCTGTAATAAACTCTCTTTTCCAAAGATGAGTGATTTCTCAATCAGATATATTTATTTTTTTATCCCTTTGTTGTTTCAGCAACATTAAATTTAAAAGCTGTACTTTTGAGTTAAAATATATATTTATAAGTTTAATAAATGACAAATTAAAAAAGCATGAACATTTTTTTTGTATCGAAAAAATATCGAACCGTGACACCAAAGTATCGAACCGAACCGTGAATTTTGTGTATCGTTGCACCCCTAATGTTTATGTTGCAGATATGTCGGCCAATTCCCACTTGAAATGCCATTTGGTTAAACTTTCAGCAAGGAATTTGCATTTGCACTGTTACATTTTTACAACTTTAATGCACATAAAAAAGCAGCTGCTTGTTTACATTGATGTTTGGGGGGGGTTTTTTGCACTAATAAAGTTGTGGAATTGTAAAGTATTTTACGGTGGCTGGGAAGTGCAAATCACATTTACAACATAAATAACAAAATAGCATTTCCGAAAACACTTTTACATAAAAAAAACCACTAAAAAAATTGACAACAAAATAAGAAAACACTTTAACAAGTCCGCAACAAATTAACAAGTCCGCAACAAATAAACAAGTGGCTCTTGACGGAAAGGGATTGTCTGAAATACCGGAAGTGACTCAACGATAGGGCTTTGGAGTTGACGGGGTCTAGATTTATGCCTGTAGTGCACTACCATGTAAATAATTTGCATTTACTGAGTATGTACTGAGTACCACTGTTCAAAAGTTGAATAAAGAAATGAACTAATTTTTGCCGTTTTTTAAAAATTAAAATCACTTTATAGAACATCACATCAGTTAGTGTTGAATCCATGTCCTTTAGAGTTTAAAAATGACAGTGTTTACATGATATCACCCACTATTAACACTACTTAATTTACTGTATCTTTTGAAAAATACCGCTATTTATACAGCACAAGACTTAAGAATATTTAAGAAGAGCAAGTTTCATTTTTCCCTGGTTTTATTATCACACTGTTCATCAAACGCAGCAAACCTTCACCATCTTATCCAGAAGGGTCACCTCTTCACCCTCACATGGAAGAAGTAATCTGATTGGCATGGTGGTATGTTTGAAGCAGGTCCATTGTGTAGCGCTGGAACCCAGTCACGATGTTTCATCCATTTCATAGGCTGGTTTGCTGCAATAATGCCAAATAATTAGCAACTCTATAAATAGAACATAGTTCTGCAAAATCACTCATTAGGATGTTTGTTCTAATTTGCTATGAGCTCAGAGCGCATCAAAAATAAAACTAATAGGCTATAAAGAGTGAAGATATTTAGAACTTACTGGAATGAAAATGTCCGGAGCACCAACAGATATTTGGAGATGGAAGAGAACTGGATATCAGCTCGTCTCACAGCTGCTATCCAAAATAGACGCCTTCTTTTGGTAACATCCGATACACAAGCTGCCTCGTGTTGCTTCCAGGTTGGGAAAGAATGAAAAGATAAACCATGTCATCAATCGTCTAGAAACTAACTCCTCACAGCGCTTTGTTACATTTATTACCCTGACGGTGCTCGCTGCACTGCATAGATGAATGGAAGATGTTTTGCCCATTTTCTGGCATTAGCTTTAGCCTCTCCACTCCTGTATGTGCAGTTTAGCTGCTGCTGCTTCTTCTTCTGCTAATTTAAAGGCGCTTACCGCCACCTGCTGGGCTGGAGTGTGGAGAATGACTGTTTTAACCCTCTCAGGCTCAAATTAAACTTTTTGTTGCTAATGCACAACCAAGTCCTGCAGTGGTACTTCTGAGTAAAAAAAAAAAAAACTCATAAAATATGTATGTGGGGTAATCAGGTTGTTAGTTTTTAACTGTTGCAAATCGGCAACGCCTGCCTTGAGAGGGTTAAGGCCTGGATATTTTAAGAAAATCACCGCTAAAAATCTGGACATCATTATCTCACCCCTACTCTTGTAAAATCTCTTCAAACATTAATTAAACACTACTTCTCTGAAAAGCCCTCGTTTAGCTGACTACAAATCACTTTTTCTGTACTACAAATGTGAAGTAAGCCTAATTGTTGAGTCACTTCCGGTATTTCAGACAATCCCTTTCCGTCAAGAACCACTTGTTAATTTGTTGCGGACTTGTTAAGGTGTTTTCTGAAATGTTATTTTGTTGTAATGTTTTTTTTTTTAAATGTAAAAGTATTTTCGGAAATGTTATTTTGTTGTTGGTGTTGTAAATGTGATTTGCACCTCCCAGCCACATATCGTCAGTTATATCATCATCGCAAATTTTCAAATGTATGTTGTGATAAATATTTTTGGTTATATCGCCCTACTCTATTTCAAAGCTACATGAGACATGAAAACTTAATGTAAATAAGTCTGACACAAATCTCCTGAAATTTTCCCAATGTTGCAAAAAAGTAAAGTTTTAAAAGCTTCCCCCCTTTCTATCTAACATTTACACTCCAATAGATGCATCGGAGAGCAGCTTGGGATTAGTATCTTGTGGCATGCAGAGTAGAGCATCCAGAGGTTTAACCACCAATCTTCCCATTAAGTTAATTACCTACAAATGGAGAGTCATTTTTGCCCAGTAAGCTGAGTGTTATAATGTTAATGTAAAATGTAAATACTGGCAGAGCTGCTCTTTATTTCAGGCGACGTTCAGGATAAAAATGTTGAAAGAATTCCCTGACTTACACTGTCTTTGTTTAGAAACAGAGCGACACAGATGGATCCAGTTCTCAACCCTGTCGTCGCTGTGGTGGTGGGAAAGCGTTTCGTTGTGACCTTTGTGGAAAAACTTTCAGTAATCAAGTGAACCTAAATCGACACCAACGTAGACACACTGGAGAGAAAATGAACTACTGCAAAGAATGTGGAAGAGGCTTCCCCACACCAAGTATATTAAAAACGCACGAACTCTGTCATCAAAGGATTAAAAAGCATGTCTGTGACCAGTGTGGGTCATGCTTCACCACTGCAAGTCAGCTTAATGTACATAAAAGAGTCCACACAGGAGAGAAACCATATAAGTGCAGACACTGTGACAAATGCTTCTCACATTCAAGTCGTTGTAATGATCATGAAGATACACACATTGAAGGGAACTTCATCTGTGACCAGTGTGACAAGAGCTTCAAGAATCTCATTTCATACTCTGAACACAAACGATACCACGCTGCAAATAAACAGTTTCACTGTTACCAATGTGCAAAAACATTCACTTCATTATCTGCTCTGTGCAAACATCAGCGTGATCATGAGACTGGCTGAAATCATTCTCATCATTAAAAATTGGTTCATGATGAATCTGAAGAGACAGACAGTGTTGTTGCAGTTTCAAAAGTTTGTTGTGAAAGCTACTGTAACTTCTGCTGAAATCCCTGCTCTGTAATACATCAACTCTTTCATGTTTTCTTTAATGTTTCTTTGAATTTTAATGCTAAAAATGTTATTCTAATTACATTATAATCTTTTCTCCTCTTGGAAACAGTAGTGTTTAATAGTAAAAATAATAGTAGTAGTAATAATCATAGCATAGTAGAAGTAGCATATGAAAGAAATGTCTGACTGATCTATTAATTGGTTTTGTATCACAGGTCTTCAAGCTGACCCACTGTAAAATCTAATTAGTTCACAGAACTATGTAAAACTCGTTGCCTCAAAAAAATTGAGTAACATTTTACTCAAGATGATTAAGCTAGGGCAACTTACCCATTTTGAGTACACTGTACAGCCTCTTTAGTTCCCAGAATTTAAAAAAAAAAAAAAAACTATGTAAACTCGTTGCCTCAAAAAAAACTAAGTAAAGCTTACTTAAGATGACTGTTAAGTCAACTTATTCATTGCAAGTCTGCAGTATTAGGAATAACTTGATATTTCTGTTGAACATTTCAAGTTCAACTAAATGAAAAAAAAAAAACTATTTGTGGTAACCTGAATTTGATTAAAAATAATTAACAACACTTTTTGTAATGACGTTAAAATCATCCCAACTTTTATTTTCAAACACAACAAAGTATAACAGCCAACATACTGGACACTGTTCTGCTGAACAACAAACAATTATATTGCCATCACTGTTATAATCTTACAATGAAACAAAGTCTCAGATGTAATTATTCTGAAAATAAGTTTAGGCCTACCACAAGTTTGTTTTGTACTTACATTACTTATATAGCCGAAATAAAATATTTGTTGTTCTGTCACAAGTGCCGTCTCTGATTAAAACAACACATTTGTTTTTCATTCCAACACAGGAGCTGGAATGTTGTAATACTTTAAGGATGCTTGTTTCCAGTCCAGGCATTACTGCCTGAATGACTGTCATGGATCGAGGTGATCCAAATGTAGGTGCAGAAGAAAGTCTTTAACTTCCCTTAAGTACAGTGGCAGTGGATGTGGGTTGGAGATGCAATGAGCTTGAACCTGCAGGCGACCATCTTCACTGACCACACCATCTGTGACGGAGGACTCATCTCTCCTGGTGTCCTGCAAGCAAACAATCATATTTTTTGCAACTTGAACTTAATTGCTTTCTTAAAACAATTTTTCTGCATTTGGTATAGAACAGACTCCAATTTAGACAATCTCAGGCCCCCTCCCCACCGGAGAGGTGACATTCAATGTCCCACTTGTCAGTCTGGATAGCCGTGACCACCACCCAACATACAATAATGTCATGAAAGCATCATTTTAAAAATGGCTATGCAAACATGGCCAATAACTTTCATTCTAATGATGTGCAAAATGATTTGGGCACAAAACAAATTTTGCTGTTAGAAAACTTGCAGACTTCACTATATACAGTGTAGACCCTCTAAACTAAGTTTGGGGATGTGATCTTTCAAGAAATGCAGACAAACTGTTGTTGTTTGTTTACTTACACAGCATGTCTTGTAGAATTAACTGGAGTCACCAGCAACAGCATAATGCAGTCATATCTCAAGTCTAATAACAGAAGACAGGAAAAGATCAGTACAGAAACAACTTCCCCAAACCAAAGCACAAATAAAACAAGTAAAACAGGCTGGTCTAAAGTATGATTAAGTTCAGCCTGATTAATATAAATGTCACTGAAAATTGCTAATATATTGGAAAACCATAATACTTACCACTGAGTTGATGTCTTTCTGTCCAACAACAGGAGTGCTGGTCCCGAGCCTCATAGAAAGCAGCTTTTTCATGACTGCCAGGTTTGTCATATTGATAACAGTTTACTTATTAACTCAAGGGATCCTAATGTTCTTCTCTCCTGTCCTCTCCTATCCCGTTCTCCCCTTCTCCATTCATCTTCTGTCCACTCCCCTCTTTAGATAAACTGAAATATATTGAAAAAGCATCTTAAATAAAATAAAACGTGTATGCTTTTTGTTTCTTTCTTTTTAACACGTAGGAATGTGAGGATTATACAGACAATATGATGAAGGTGATTGTGATCCACAACATCATGGCTGAGGAGGATCCATCAGATGTGTCCACTGTGATTGAGGGAAACCAAGTGATGGAGGGATGTGGAAGCCGAACGAAGGCATGTGTACTGCTGATGGGACTGATATATGCCCTCAACCTCGAATATCCGAAGGAGCTGAAGAACACATTTGATACTTATCAAAAACATTTTTTGGAACTTGACGGGGCCAAACTACTGAAAAAGGTCCACGGCCTCAAAAATAAGCTTGTGCAATGCACACACATTTCCCTTCTTGTTCCAAGAGAATCTTTTGTCCAGACATAGCTTGATGGAGCTGTATTTTTTCTGCTGACAGCAAACACAGATTGAATGTTGGTGTTAGTGTTTTGTTCTATGTATCCATATTTTTGATAACGTACATGCACAGAAACAACCTGTAGCGTTTCTGTGCTTTTGGCTTTTAAAATGGACTAAGTGGCCTTTGAAAGGGTTGTGTGCATTAGCTGTTGTGTTGCACTTTATTCTGTGTTTTTATGTAATAAAAACATTGAGATGATGAACCATCTGAATGTCTTTTTTGGGGGGTACATTTTATCTTATATGAATAGGTAATGTTTATCAACTGATAATAATTAAATTTTATTAGTTATTATATAATTAATTTTATCTAATTTCAATGAGTAAGTAGCTGTTGAATATATACGTAAATATGGGGTAAATTTTACCCAATTTAATTAAATATTTTATACACAATATATTGACTTAAATCTACCCCAAAAAAGTCAATGCAAATTGTTACCTCAGATTTATTGAGTAAATTCTATAGATAACTTCTTACAGGTATTCAGTCTTTAAAATCTGCACCGCCAGAGTCAAATACCCGCGTAACACAACGAATTTGTGAGCATGTGTCTTGCAACCATAGCAACGTAGCATCAAATGCTAATTTTAAAACCAAATGAGGTGATCCCGCTCAACGGACAATTGAAGAAGTTAACTTTTCGATAGTACCAGTCATATGGTAACTTGAACTGAACTAAAGCGCAGTAACCCAGAGTGGAGGCAAAAATAACGTTTCAACAAGGTAATACAAGGGTACACTTAGCAGTGGCAAATACACAGTGGCTTGGCTAACGTGGTGTGGTAAGGTGGCGGTGAGCAACCAGGGAAATAGGACGGCAAGGTCAACTTGAGTGTGGCAGGTATGTACTGGTCACACTGAGGAGAGAGGTGAACAGAGTTAGAACGAGAGTCCAGGTGGTTTTCGGAGAAGGTGAGTATGACAGATTTTCCCAGCTTACTTGCAGGAGAAGTGATAGAGGTGTTGAGGGAGAGGATTGTGAGTCCAGGAGAATTCGAGGAGGCGAGACTGCTGACCTGGGTTCCGTTGATTCCGAGGTGGCGAGAGAGCAGGCAGTTGAGGCACAGAGATTTCCAGAGAGCCAGTGTGAAGCCAGAATCTGTCATGGTCTGGGCGAGCCTGAGTAACTTTGCACAGCATCAGCTCTCCTCTGGGTGGAGCCCTTCCTGCCCCTCCCCGTTCCTCAGCTGCAGGCAATTATTCTGGCAGTATTTAGGAGCAGCGCACACAATGAGTCTTCGCCAGATCGTCTGCTAACCTCATCGGTACCTGGACTCGTCATTCCAAACCCTGCCATAGCCTTGCTTCTGGATTCCGGTCAGCTGCTGCTTAATCCTTTTCAGACAAACTGCCATTCTCACCTGCCTGCCTCCCTGCACACCTATATGGGAGACTCAGTACCCACCTGGACCTCGCCTCCACCTCCAGCTAATCCCCGCCAGCAAACACATAAGCCATTCCAGCTTGTCAATCAGAATCAGAATCAGAATCAGAATGGGTTTATTGCCAGATGTTGAGGTTTACAACATTAGGAATTTGCTGCGGTGCTTCAGTGCAAACAATAAGAATTAAAGTGCTATGTAGAAAGAAAGATATGTGCATGAGATATACATTAGATATATACATGAGAATAAGAATTAAGAGTGCTACGTAGAAGGATATATACATGAGTGCAGGTGGTGATCAGTGCCAGACATGAAATGATGCAGTGACACAGCGTAGGGTCATGTGTGAGTGGCGGGGACAGTCATGTGGTTATTGTTCATGTGTCCAACAGCAGAGGGGAAGAAACTGTTCTTGTGGCGAGAGGTTCTGGTGCGAATGGACCGGAGCCTCCTGCCTGAGGGGAGCAGGTCAAACAGACTGTGTCCAGGGTGGGAAGGGTCAGCTGAGATCCGGGCTGCACGCCGCAGTGTCCTGGAGGTGTACAGGTCCTGCAGAGATGGGAGTCTGCAGCCAATCACCTTCTCAGCAGAGCGCACAACACGCTGCAGTCTCTGTTTGTCCCTGATAGTGGCTCCAGCGTACCACACGGTGATGGTCAAATGGGGAAACAACTCCTTGGACTGTTCTGATTTTCCTCTCCTACGTTTCAGTACCCTGGTCTGCCACAGGTTCCACCAGACCCAATCCAGTCTCAGCAGTTTAGTGACCTGACTGTTCCATGCTCGCCCTAGCCCCGCACCTCACAGACGCCATGCTTTTGCACAAAGCTTAATCTTGTCTTTTGTCTAGAATATTTCTGTTAGGAACACTTGTAAATAAAAGTTTTTGTTTTTGCAAATCACTCCAAGCTTCCAGTCTTTGGTTCTGCACCTGAGTCCATTCCATGCCACGGGCCTCTGAGCCCTGACAGAATCAAAGAGGTGAGTGTTTGCACCGTGGAGTGTCCTGCAGCTCAAGACAAACAGCATAAGCATAACATTTTTGAGAGCGTAAACATGAAACATCAAGTAGTACCAACATCAAGTAGTTGACGAACTGGCAAAGAAACGTCAGCATAGAGCTTAAGCCTGATTGACTCAGTTAGCTCCAGGTGAGTGAAGCTGTGGTGGCCCTGCCCATGGGCAGATCCAAGGAGCCTCAGGAGCCTGGTGGAAATTTCCAGGCACTCACCCAGACCATGACACTAACAATAACTTTAATCTGTGCAACAAAAATAATACAGTCAGTACTTGTTTTTATTTGCAAAGACATGCACCCTCTGAAAAAATTATTCTTTTTCACTCAAGTCAGAGTGAAAAAGAAATTTTCACATTACCATTACTTATTACTTACCATGTTCACTGGTAATTGAACTTAAGGGGGCCAGATGTAGTCTTTCCAAGATGGCGCCATCTCTCGTTTCTGAAATATTTATGTATTGTGTTTATAGTGGTGTCCCTGCTAAGTTTTAAAGAGCCACTCGCTGTTGGTGTATGAGCAACAGACAATTCTTAATATTCGTGACTTACTGCTGATGCTCCCCTGCGTTAGCCAGCGATTTGGAGGACTCCCACTGCCTCTGGTGTCAGTCTGAATTGATGCGAGAAGTGGATGTATATGTGGCAGATCAGATCTTGGATGTGGCGTGTCCTTGCCATCAGCGATCTTGGCTGTTTAGAACTTCTCTCTGCCCTCAAACAGCGCTGCCTTCTACCTGTTTACCCAACGTTATCGGAGCATGCTCACCTGACGCGGTTTTATTGGTCACCATGCTGACAAAATATGAAGGGAGCTAGAGCACATATAAACCACTTGCAAGTACTGCATATTAAACCTGCTCAACACTGGCCCCAGCCAGTTTCTTTCACAATAGATCATAAGAAAATCATTATAACCGCTTATTTTACTAAAAGATCAAAGAGAAAACAAACATTCTAATCAATTAAGCTTAAGCATACAAGCAATTACTTATGAATAAATTTTATCGTAGCTAAATCAAACTCCCAGAAAGTCACAACATGATCATAATTTTCTCTCCCCAACCTAGTCAATTGTTTGTCCCCTTTTATTCATGCTAACCCACAGTCACTAATTCACACACATATTCACTCAAAATAAAAACAAATCTATCATTTTTGGTCTGGATTGACATGCGGCAATCCTTTTAGACAGGAACTCCCAGGTTGCCACAGGTGGCTTCTCCTCAGCCAGTTGTAATCTGGAAAAGGTCACCTTATATTTGCTGTCCCGAAAAAATTTCAGCGCTGTTAATTCAATCTTGCAGGCTTGCTTACAAAAAATGAGAGCAAAAGAGAGCTTTTTATTAGCTCATCAAAACACGACACATAATCACCTGACCGGTTTTCTCTAAGTGCACTGGTACAATTTTAAAGGGCCCAATTCTTGACATGTCCATGTTTAATAAAACTCACTCTGTTAAAATTGTCACGTCCGGTGTGGCAGACGTGTGGAGTTGTAGAAAGGACCCGAAGGGCGGCAGCTCTGGTGCAGGTGAGTATTTATTTACAGGAGTGGGTACAAACAGCAATGGTGGGTGAACATGAAACTAGAAAACCTAAACTGGGCAAAACTAACAAAACAAACCAGAAACGACGATGCAGGGAGGTCCGGGGAAATACATACGGAGGGAGACCGGGGGGAAACAACACAGACAAACCAGCAACGAAGACGAGGTAACACACACTATAAATACACACGGCAGGAATCAGGGGATGGGAAATAGGAGGGGAAATCACCTGGAAGACATCACAGCTGACGAGGCAGGGGAAACGTAAATAGAACACACTGACATAAGACACAGACTTTCACAATAAAACAGGAACTTACACATGCAAGGGACTGACTAAGAAACGTGGACTTAACACAGGAATACATGGGCAGAACTGAATAAACACTAAACAGAGGAAAAACAGAACCAAAATCACAATAATAGAAAACACAAAACGAAGCAAAACTCGAAGCAAAACAAAACAGGAGCAGTAGAAGACCAAAAACGAAACGCGCACGAAAAAACACTGGCGCACAAAGAACAGTTCAGTAGTAAGTCAGGGGGCCGACCCGGAGGTCGCCGGCACAAAAGTCCACAAGTCAAACGGTCGGGGGGCCGACCAGGTGGGTAGCACAGGTGACAGAGCTAGTCCGGAGGCCGGCCGTGTGGAAAGCAACGGTAGCGATGTGGAGGCAGTTCAGGGGGCCGACCGTGCGGAAGGCAGAGGCGGCGACTCAGGCGAAGGGGGTCTGCCCACGACGGCCATGGCGCCCAACCCATAGCCTGGAACGTGGCCGGTTGACTACTATATCATTGTAAAATTCCCTAAAGGAAAGAAAAAAAACCTTAATGATCTTATGAATATCTTTCAAACTTTCTAAATCCCAGAAAGTCGAGAAATCAGATCCAAGTGTGACATCAGCTGACACTTTTTACAGGAGACTCCATCTGAACTCTGTGGAGCCTGATCTCAAGGTTTTTAAGTCTGATCCTGAAACCAGAAGAGGATCTTTCTGTCTCTTCAGATTCATTGTGATCCAATGATTTCGGTTCTGCATGATACTGCTGATGTTTGCACAGAGCAGATAATGAAGTGAATGTTTTTGCACATTGGTAACAATGAAACTGTTTATTTACAGCGTGGGATTGTTTATGCACTTCAAGATGATCCGCAGTGGTGAAGGATGACCCACACTGGTCACAGACTTGCTTTTTGACGTCACTGTGACAGAGTTCATGTTGTCTTAATTCACTTGGTGTGGTGAAGCCTCTCCCACATTCTTTGCAGTAGTTCATTTTGTCTCCAGTGTGTCTGCGTTGATGTCGTTTTAGGCTCGCTTGCTGATTGAACGTCTTCTCACCACCACAGTGACGACAGGGCTGAGAAGTGGATCCATCTGTGTCGCTCTGCTTCTAAACAAAGACATAAAAGACAGTGAAGGTCAGGCAATTCCTTCAACATTTTTATCTTGAACACCGCCTGAAATAAAGAGCATCTGTGCCAGCATCCAATTACATTTTACTATTTACATTATAACACTCAACTTACTGGCTTACAATAACTCTTAATTTGTAGGTAATCTAATTATTGGGAAGATTGGTGATTAAACTCCTGGATGCTCTACTCTGCATGCCACAAGATACAAACCCCAAGCTGCTCTCCGATGCATCTATTGGAGTGTAAATGTTAGATTGATAGGAAGGGGAGGAGCTTTTAAAACTTTACATTTTTCCAACATCAGGAAAGTTTCAGGAGAATTGTGTCAGATTTGACTGAATATTCTGTACATGAAGTTTTCATGTCTCATTTAGTTTTGAAAATAACTCATTCACTGCCAGCCATTGGCAGTGAATGAGTTAAACCCATTGACTCATTCACTGCCATTGACGTCTATAGACGTCAATGGCAGTGAATGAGTTAAACTTCATTCACATAATACTTCAACCTAACTACAACTGTAAAAAGAAAAATACATACCTCACAGTAACTGCACTTGTAGAGTTTCTCTCTGCTGTGAATCTTTTGGTGTGATTTGAGGTAATGTGGAGATTTAAAAGTCTTCTCACACAGTTCGCATTTATAAGGTCTCTTCCCAGTGTGGGTAAACATGTGCCGATGTAAGTTTTTGTATGTCACAAAAATTTTGCCACACTGATCACAGAAGCAAAAATCCTTTTTGGTGTGAATGCGTCGGTGAATGTCTCGGCTGACTAGCCAGCGGAAAGTTTTTCCACAAATGTGACAGCTGTACGCCTTAAATCCGGAGTGGGTAACTTGATGACGCTGTAAGTAGCTACTTTGAGTAAAAGCTTTATCACACTGATCACAGCTGTACGCTTTAACTGCACTGTGGATGAGTTGGTGTCTTTTTAAGCTTCCAGCCTGGGTGAAAGACTTTCCACACAACTCACAGCTGTATGCTTTAACTCCACTGTGGATGAGTAGGTGCATTTTTAAGTATGCACTCTGCGTAAAAGACTTTCCACACAACTCACAGCTGTATGCTTTAACTCCACTGTGGATCAGTTGGTGTGTTTTTAAGTATGCACTCTGCGTAAAAGACTTTCCACACAACTCACAGCTGTACGCTTTAACTCCACTGTGGATGAGTTGGTGTTTTTTTAAGTTTCCAACCTGGGTAAAAGACTTTCCACATTCATCACAACTATACGGCTTAACTCCACTGTGAACAAGTTGGTGTGATTTTAAGCTTCCAGCGCGGGTAAAAGACTTTCCACACAACTCACAGCTGTATGCTTTAACTCCACTGTGGATGAGTTGGTGTGTTTTTAAGCTTCCAGCCCGGTTAAAAGACTTCCCACACAACTCACAGCTGTACGCTTTAACTCCACTGTGGATGAGTTGGTGTCTTTTTAAGCTTTCAGGACGGTGAAAAGACTGTCCGCAGAAGTCACAGCTGTACGCTTTAATTCCACTGTGGATCAGTTGGTGTGATTTTAAGCTTCCAGCCCGGTTAAAAGACTTTCCACACAACTCACAGCTGTACGCTTTAACTCCGCTGTGGATGAGTTGATGTTGTTTTAAGTATGCACTCTGCGTAAAAGACTTTCCACACAACTCACAGCTGTACGCTTTAACTCCACTGTGGATGAGTTGGTGTGTTTTTAAGCTTTCAGCGTGGGTAAAAGACTTCCTACACAACTCACAGCTGTACGCTTTAACTCCGCTGTGGGTGAGTTGGTGTGATTTTAAGCTTCCAGCGCGGGTAAAAGACTTTCCACACAACTCACAGCTGTATGCTTTAACTCCACTGTGGATGAGTCGGTGTCTTTTTAAGCTTCCAGCATGGGTAAAAGACTTTCCACAAAACTCACAGCTGTATGCTTTAACTCCACTGTGTATGAGTTGGTGTCTTTTTAAGCTTCCAGTGTGCGTAAAAGACTTTCCACACAACTCACAGCTGTATGCTTTAACTCCACTGTGGATGAGTTGGTGTGTTTTTAAGTATGCACTCTGCGTAAAAGACTTTCCACACAACTCACAGCTGTATGCTTTAACTCCACTGTGTATGAGTTGGTGTCTTTTTAAGCTTTCAAGACGGTGAAAAGACTGTCCGCAGGAGTCACAGCTGTACTCTTTAACTCCACGGTGGATGAGCTGGTGAGTTTTTAAGTTTCGAGAAAGGGAAAACGACTTCCCACACTCATCACAGCTGTATTTTTTCTCTCTCTTTCTTCTGTGAGGTTTGTCAGCCTCCTTAGAGCGCTGACTTCTCGCTCCATGTTGGTCCTGCAGTGACAGAGATACAAACAGAGGCAGTGAGTGAAATGCAGTCGTGGAACAAACTCAACCTTCAAACTTCCTCCACTAACACTAGTTTTAAACCAAAGGTTGAAGTAGTTCCTTTTCAGTCAATACACTCGGTACAACACACGTGCTATGGGATATCATGCCCTCACGTGTCCTGGCTGAGGAACACACTGCAGATTTTGTTCAGTGATGAGGCAAAATGTGAATGGTGAAGTTAACAAACAAAACCACCGCTATTGGTCTGACTCTAACCCACATTGGATGGATCCCTCCAAGACTGTTGGAACAACAAAAGTGATGGTTTGGTGTGGTATATGGGGTACAACGATAGTGGGTCCATTCTTCATCAATGGAAACCTCAACGCCACTGGATATTTGAAATTGCTACATGATGATGTGTTTCCCTCTTTATGCTGTGACGGCCAGAGTACTGGGTTTAGCCCAAATGACTTGGTCTTTGGCCACAAAGTTCGGGGACCATTGACAATGCTGTGCGATAAGTGGTTGTCAGGTGAACCACCAGTGAACTTGATAGATTAGGTTAATGGTTTTCGGCACGGACTGTATGTGGCAGGTCAGTTGGCGAAACAGAACCTTGAAAAGGTTCAGGTCAAGATGAAATATTTTCATGACCGGCGTTCTGAAGAGCAGCAATTTAGTGCGGGTGACCAGGTTTTGGCTTTTCTTCCAATTGCAGGGTCACCATTCCAGGCACGGTTTGCTGGGCCTTACACCGTGGTACAGAAACTGTCTGAACAGAATTATCAGATTGCTACACCAGATCGCCGGAAAATAAATCAACTTTGCCAGGTTAATTTGTTGAAACCATATCATGTTCGTCCTTTATCCGTCAGTCTGTCAGGCTCTCTCTTTTCTCCTTCCGCATTAACATGTTGGAAAACAACATTGCAGTGCAACAACATTTCAATCATCATCAAGCTGGGCTTCCCCATGTTTGTTGGTTGAAAAAGCTGATAAATCACCACGTTGTTGCGCAGACTTTCGTAAAGTAAATGCAGTGACCAAACCCGATTCCTATCCCTTGCCTCATATTGACGACTGTATTGACCAAGTTGGTGCAGCAGAATATGTGAGCAAGTTTGATCTGTTGAAGGGATATTAGCAGGTGCCACTGACTCCCAGAGCTCAGGAAATATCTGCTTTCATCACGCCATCTGGTCTTTATTCATATACAGTCATGGGTTTTGGTTTACGCAGTGCTCCAGCTACATTTCAGCGACTCATGAATATGGTTGTTAAGAGAGAGAGCGATATCAAAACAGCCAGTAAAAGTTCTGCATATATGTGCCCAAGTGTTGTATTGAAGCAATCAAGTGATGAATAACTGTTTTCCACTATGTTGTTTTGCAATGTTTTTTGGGAGTTTTTTGCATTGTTGATTTGCTTCTTTGCCGAAGCAGCTAATAAAGCACAATTGAATACAATTTTGCCTCTTTCTTGTAAGATTCTATAATAGAATGAAACAATAATGCCAGTTATAAATAAAGAGAATTGAACGAATTACGAAACACTCATTTTATTTCTATTTGATCTGAAAGTTGTGTAGTACTACAACCTGAAACGACAAATAGATTGTGTTGGCCTGTACAGGAGATAAAAGAAAAAAAAAAACACATCTGTTAAATGGAATAGTCCAAATCACCAAAGTAAACTGGACCTGGGCTTGTTGCAGGGATCTGAAATTACTAAACATTTTGTGAGTGTATGCACTCACACTTAGGACCATATAATAATAAATATGTGCGTGATGAAAGATTTCCTTTTTTTCAAGTCTGTCTTTGTACGGACCTGCCGTGTTCTCCGTTTTTTTGTACATGACTGTTTTGGAGGCAAATAAAATGCAAGTAGGGATTAAAACCGCAGAATTAATGATTACCGGTGCTGGAAATACTAGCGCTTGATGCAGTGTTTAGATTTTGTTGCCACTCGTACCCAACATGCAATGCGCGAAAGTCATGTGGTCTGTCAATCTCTGTTTGCATACAGGACCAACCGATCTACAGAAGGTGACCTCTCTCTACCACACTCCGTGTTATGCTGTCACACCTGGAGAGGAAGAACACCCCTCTGCCAGAGTCCTTTTCATCGACTTCAGCTCAGCTTTTAACACGATCATTCTGCAGCAGTTGGTGGAAAAGCTGATGCTATTAGGTGTGGACCCTGCAACCTGCAATTGGGTTTTCAGCTTCCTGACAAAGTGACAAGAGGCAGTCACACATCAAAGACCATCTTGGTGAGCACAGGCTTTCCTCTGGGGTGTCCTGAGCCCGTTGCTGTTCAGTCTGCTCACACATTACTGTAAGCCAGACTCAGTGCTAATCATATTGTGAAGTTCAAAGACAACTGTGGTTGGTCTCATTACTGAAAACAATTAGTCCACTTATAGAATGGATGTGGAGCAGCTTGAAGTGTGGCGTAGATCCCATAATCTCATAAACAATAAAGACAAAACAGAAGACCTGTCCTTCTTTATTAATACCACATCAGTTATCAAAAAAGCACAAACGCATCTCCACTCCCCCAGGAGGCCCAGAAAACCTCACCTCCCCATCCGTTCAACTATTAGCACGGCTTTACTGTGATGCCTCCTGTCTACACACACATATAGCATACAATATACTCCCCAGATGCACACAATACTCTGTGAAAGGACTGTTGCTACCTGTATGAGCGTGACTATTTAGACTTGAGTTTTTGTTTTCTTTTTTTTATTTAGATGTTTTGTTATTTACCCTTTTAATTTATTACTGCCTTTTTACTCTTCTTTTTTTAAGCCATTTTCCTTTTTAATTTTATTGATTATTGCACTGTAGATTCTGGTGAGAAACTGTATTTCAGGTGATTGATTGATAGATATATATATAGATTTGTTGGTTTTTGTTTTTTGCCCTTTATCACAGTTCCTCTTCCCCACTGTTTTTCTTTCCCTCTTTCTTTCTCCCAGTCATATCTGTCCCGTGTGTAGCAAGTGAAAATAAAATAAACAATAAAAGCAAAGGTAAATCAAATAGACTAATACAGCAAGGCCGGGATGGTCCATTTGGTAAAGTAAATCCGTTGGGCATCTTTCTTTGTCTCTAGACAATAATTCTGATGGCAAAAGAAACAAATGGGACAGGCAAAAAAGGAAAAAAACGAGAGAAACTGTATTTCGTTTCAGCCTGGGTATCACCATACAAAATGTCAATAAGCCTCTTCTTGAAACTTCTCCAATCTTGACAAACAAGCATCAGCTGATGAAGTGCACACAGTTTCAATAAAAGCTGTCACTTACTGTTATTTATTCATCTTTCAGTCACTTTAATTTTTAAAACTGTAATTTTAAAACTGTATATACTGTATATTCTGTGTATTTATTATTTCACTCCTATTGCCTGTTATTATTGTCCTTATCTTCAACGTATGCTGCTCGGTTGTTTGTTAATTGCCCCTTGAGGATAAATAAAGTTTTCTGATTCTGATAAAAGTGATATGTTCTTCACCTTTTGTGTTGATGACATTTATTTCCACTGTAGCAGCTGAGCTGAGTCCAAACGGCTGAAAATGTTCACCTGGTGCTCTGTCAAACTCTTCTCCTC